GTACCTTGGTTTCCACGACTATCAGCAGGCCCTACGAAGTGAGAGGCGCATGAAACGATACCTGCTGGACGTCCATCCTTGTGGATAACTCCCGACTCTCTGGGAGATCGCCGCTGGGGAAGCAGGCAGCTTGGCAGCCCACCTTACCCGCGCCATTTCATGCACCAGATTCGTCCGCCACTCATATCCACTGGCGGCTGGTCGCCGCTAGACGTCCGTGAGCGACTGCCGCTTTGCCCATCCAAACTGTCAACATTCCTTCGCATGAGGTTGCGCAGAGCACCCGATCTTGTCATCTGAGTGGGCTGTGGTGCACCACGGTTCGCTACGAGATGCTCTTTACCACTGCCGTCTGAAAGGATTCTCCGTCGTTCTCCACGCCAGCTGTCAGGACGTTTCGCTGGCATCCAAGTGAGAGAGCGCCAGTCTTGGCGTACCATAGTACCATGTGATATCAAGGTCGACATGAAAATCGACGTCGGTTTTGCCTATGTGGCTCGTGATGCAAGATTGCATCGTATTGCGTTTGCTGAAAACTTTGCTGCAGAGCCGCGGACTAGTCTAACTATGCTGACCTTATTTCTCACTTTTCCCCCCTTCTCTCCACAACGTGGATTCTTGGATGAAGGACCAGATCAAGGAGATGAATTACGTTTTTCTCAAGCATGGACCGAGAAGTTGAGTTTCTCGGCAAGCGACGATTTACCTCTCAGCCTGCATGTAAACCAACCACGGGCCACGCACTAGACCGTCAGGCTTTCAAAACACTCTCGAAATGAAGCTAACACAAACTCGCTGAACTATCGTCAGAATCCAGGGAATCGCAAGAGGGCAAGGTTCCCGAAGCTTCCAGCCTGCATTCGGGCGAAGTCGAACCGCCGATGTGGTCGCGAGGAGATGACAGCCAACCCTTGGCTTCCACGACCTGGCCCCCTCGTCCCTTTGGCGCCATAGGTAAGCTTAAGACCAGGACTCCGCTTGCCGAGAGCGTAGAAGGGCAGAGGGGTACTCCAGGCTAGCCTCCAGGACACACCATCTTAAGAGAGGCGCTGAAACGAATCGACATCGGACGAGTTGGTCTATCTCGCGTCTTCTTGCAGAATTCTGCTCAAGGCTTACATCAGACGAGGAGAGCCTCCACCCACGAAACGCCCCAGCGAAACCTCTCTTCATCCTAGAAAGTTAGGAGAATTAGCGACGCAGGGAGATGCTTCCCACCCTGAGAGAACTCAAGGCGAGCCAGATGCAAGGTAGTATCCTCCACCCAACGCCGATCCGGCTCTATGCGGTGCGTGGCTCTCGTGAGGTCGGGCACTTGGAGCCGTGAACTCTAGATGTTGTCGACTTGGAGATGCGATTACTAGTTTCAGGCACTCGCGAGTCGCCCTTTCCGTGAATGTTAATCGGAAGTCGCGGCCAATGGATCGACGCCCACCCCTTACGGCTGGCAGAATGGAAGCCATTCCAAGGTTTGGACGAGCATTGCACATCCCTGGGCTCGAGCCTGAATGCACACTCGCTCTTGTTGACTAAACGGAGTATTAAAGAAGAGCTTCATCGCCAACTGCTTTTGCGGAAAGGTCAGGCAGGCTCCTCAGTTTACGCCGATACCCTAACGGCAACCTCAGATACGAGTACTCCCCTCCTATCAAGCGCCAAGCTTGTCTTGGTCACCACCTCCAATCATTTGTTGAGCAAATACCACCATTCACTATAATGAGATACTTCACGCCAGCCCTCCTGCTCGCCTCGGCCCTCCTCGTCGGCATCAATGGTGCTCCGGCGGGGACCGATGTAGTCCAACGGGACCTAGGGTAAGCATACATTGTGTTCGTCTAGCATGTCTTCCTCAAGAAACTAACAAACAGCAGCGAGCTGGGCGCTCAGGCGGACGTGCCGCAGATTAATGCCCCCGTCGCCGTCGCTGCTGTAGAACAGCCCGAGACCGCGCTAGTCGCGGAAGATGAGCCGCACATCAAGGAGCGTCAGATTCTGAAGAAACTCGCCAAGCTCCTCGGCAAGAAAAAGAAGAAGAAGAAGAAGAAGAAGGCGAAGGCCGCCAAGGCAAAGGCAAAGGCAAAGGCGAAGGTCAACACTCCACCTCCGGCCAAGGCGGCACCGCCTCCGGCCAAGGTCACTCCGCCGACTCCGCCTGCCGCCCAGCCTCCCGCCGCCGCCCCTCCCGCTGCTACTCCGTCCAAACCACCCGCTGGCGCGCCCAAACCACCTGCTGCGAATCCCAAGAAGGCCGGCGCCGCCGCTGGAGCCGGAGCTGCAGCGGCTGGAGGAAATGCTGCTGGAGCTGCCAAAGGTAATCCAAACCAAGGTGCTAAACCCGTCCCACCTGCTCCTGTTCCCGCCGGCGCAATTGCGGCCGGTTCAAAACCCAAGCCTCCGGCTGGAGGAACGCCCAAAGCGGGCGGTAACACAAACACAAACAACCCGAAGGATCCAGCCCCTGCCCCCGCTGGAGCTCTCATGGCTGGCGCTCTCGCCGGAGGTGCGACAAATGGGAATAAGCCTGGTGCTGCCCCTCAGACACCTCCCAAGCCGCAAGCCCCTCCTCCTCCCCAGCAGCCTCAGACGCCTCAGAATCCCGCACCGCAGACACCACAGAACCCTCAAAAGCCCCAAACACCGCCCCCTAAGCCTGGTGGAAGTGGTGGTTTACCCCTTGCCGTTCCTGGTAGGAATTCTGTATGAGCTTGTGTTGACGAAATGGTTTTTGCGCAGTTTGAGTCAGCAATCGTTCGGAGATAGCGAACACACGGGACAAATTACAAGCGACAAGACACTCATTTTCATGCCTCGTGGGTAAACTAAAACTCCATAATTCAATAACTATATTCGGTGGAACATATTGGTGAGAAAGTCTTGGGCATGTCACTCGGTGAGACTACAAAGGCTTTGGCTTGGCTGGGAAATCCGAGTGTGTACATAGGGATGACAAAGACACGAATGATGACTGGACAACAAGTCGGGTTCTATACCGAAAGTGCTCCAAATGTGTGACAGGCATGATCCTCTGATATTCTGTGCGGTGCCTGGTGAGTCGCTTCTAGCTGAAGTTTATTGCTCTGATGCAAAGTTACGGCCATTAGAGTAGTTTCAGCTCGCCAATAAGGCACGGTTACAAAGTTTATTCATGACGCAGGTGTGTCGATGGCGACGAGTCTGCCCAAAGTTAACTTCGCAATGGCGAATGCGACCGTCAAGAGTGGTGCTTTTTAGTCTTCCGACACCGTTTGAGATAGTCACGCTCGATCCTGGAGCCTGGGCAGCATCTCTCCCTCATGCCAACCATCCCCTTCGTATCACCCGTTCGGTACCGTTCGGTACCATTCAGTAGCCAAACTTATTGTCAGAGTTGGCCCTGCATAGAGCAGGCAGGCAAGCTCTCTTATCGGGAAAGACGAGGGGAATTTGAAGTGACTGGGCAGAAACTTCCATCGACGGTTCGCACTATCAAGCGGCCTTCGGAGGTTCGAGATGCTCGGAGTTCTGCTACTTTCATCAAGCATAATGGTGTCCGCGCTTACTTCCCAAGGATGCCGCGGATGATCATCTGAACTTGAAGATCACAAGTGAAGCTGTAGCCCCTTTCCAACTGGCAATTCATCTTACTTCCTCCTTGAAAGCTGGTTCGTAGATGACCACATCCACAGTCAGTCTGGATGTTTATCGAGGGGCGACTTCAGCGGAAGTTTGCCTAGCTCAGCTTGACCAAAAACGCCGCTCCTCCCCGAGAAGCTTTGCTACTGTTGAAGGAGGCCACAGCTGGGTACCTACACCTGGTGAAGTCAGCGTAGAATATTGTCAGATATTCCGATTACAATACAGGCACTGGGGCATGCTATCAAGGGATGATAATAACTTGCGCATAACGAACAGCGATTGAATGTTGCAAAACTCAGTTTATATGCAATGAAACTAGTTTTCGGAAGGATTCACACATTATCTTCCGTCGAATTATTGTTCACCTTATTAGATTATCCTGTGAGTTTACATGACAGAAAGAAATGTAGGGCTAGGGCTGACGACACTATCCCTAAGCACCGCAGCGCAGACGGATGGCAGTGTGATAAATATGTGTTGTTATGATGACCGAATGCGTCTATCTGGCAAGTATTTTCGGTAATTAAGGGATATCAAGTCATGCAGCGTAGTGACAATCTAGTTGGTGCTCCCTCTCATGCCCATAGTCCCTGCCGCGAAGTCGTTACTCGAGCCGTTTGTATTACGTGGATCAACTAACCGGACAATCTTGCTGACAATGCACCTATATGAGCACTATTTGTTGGTAACTGAAGCTGTTTATAAACCATGACTGGCGTGTAGGATACAATTTCGTGACTGCGAGTTCTCCAGCCGTCACGAGCGAGTAGCTAGAAAATATCTTTCGACCAACCCCTTTCGTATCAATCTCGTTCCTAGGTGCATGATTTGAGAGAGAGAGTCTGATAAGTAGCTGATGATTCCTGCTATGGCCAAAGTCCTATTGGGACCTTCTGGTGCTGATCGAATATTCTGAGAGCAAAAACCGGACACTGATCTTGAATGTACGCGAAAGGATGGAAATGCCCGAACAGCTCAGTATGGGATGGAATGGGTCTTGGAATTACAGATCTTTTGTTCTATCAAAGCCTAGTGCTGCGTCGTGAAACCTCGTAGAGAAAGATATTCCTTCTGCGACCCTTGCCAAGTAAGTACGACGTGTCAATTGTGCTGGGAAGAGACTACCGAGCTCAAACCGGCGAAAGAACTCAGCACCATTGTTGAAGGCATACTTGTTCGAAATCTAATGGAAAGCATAAGAGGATCGCAATCCTTGAATCCGTTGAGAATAGCATAACACTGTCGTATACTACTCTGACACTCAATGCGGTCTCGATATTATGCAGCTTTTCACCGCATAGTGTCTTTGTAAGGATCTTCATTTTCCTGCTGGAAAAGCTTTGGATCGTACAACTTCCCGGTTCACCAGCTTCAGCGAGTCCAAGATGCTTCCACCCGGTAGTCCAAGCCGTAAAATCCTCGGATTTCTCTCCGGCATCAACGATAGGATCTACAATCTCATGTGGTTCCATGACAAAGGCATTCCAACGGAACATGTTGACCATACTCTGGTTACGACTATGTTGGGTGACGAAAGCGGAGCAGGAGGCCATCAGCCTCAGATGGAACCGTACGACGACCTCAACGCGCGAGCCATGAGCTTTCATCTCAACGACATGCTTGGAACACCAGATAAAGTCGAGATGTACAAGGAATACCTGTGTAATAGCACTCCTCGTTTCTCGTTCTGGTATCAACTTCGGCCAGGGGCAAACCTTCCACATTTCAAGCCTCCCTTGGTATACAAGCGGGACGCAATCACCGGACAAAAAGGCCGGGACAAGCACACACAACGTGAAGTTGACCAAGGTCAAGTGGAACAAGATGGCCGACCATGACCCGCGGCCTATTATAACACGTTCTTTGACGGAGTCTGAGCGAAAGGCCAAGAGACAGAAGTTGGCCAAGAGACGAGGCACAAACCCTGACATCACTCATCTCATCGTCACCCGCGCTGAGGAACATGCAGCGTCGTTGGTTTGCAACAGTACAACATCTTACGGCCACGACATTGTATCCCTTTACGAGAAAACTTACTGCGATATGACCGTTAAGAGACTCCACAACCTTTGTGACGACGTTTTGAAGGAGAACTGTTTTGACGTGCAACGAAGAACTCTGATAGGACATGGTGGAATCAATGCTCGTGGCGAAATATCTGCGGTCGGTATTTCTCAGAAGTGATATAAAACGGCAGCCCACTGGGAAGAATGATCTCAACTCTCTTTGGAAGCTATGAAAGCGATCTGAGTCCCCAGAGTGTTGCAGATTTTCACGGGTTTATTCTACTGCTTTCATTGGAACTTGAACCCAAGCTATGGATGTTTCCTCTTTGTTGTATAAAAATAGAATCGTGGTTGCCAGCGAGAAATTACGCCTTATTTACCACACTCTGATAAAGACTCCTGCCGAATGAGTTCCTGGTGGGTTTAAGGGCGTAAGACTTAAGAGTTGCTTTACTAGAACTAGAAACATCATCACCCCTCTTTCAATGGGCTTTTGTCACGAGAAACGCCGAGGAATCAAATCGCTGAGCAGTTTATTTTCAAGCTCATCCATTAAGCTGCCTATCAACTGCCTATTTGGATATGTACTGTTTAGAACGGTGTGCGCTGCATACATCGCTGAAGAAATAGTGCCTACGAGGAAGGCTTGGTGTTCTGAGTGAACCTCCTCAGAGATGCGATCTGGCCGTGACAAAATCCCACAGCCTGTTGCTTGATGCTATCCTCATGCTGTTGCTCAACTCGTCTGGCCCCGGATACCCAGGTGACGATCGTCTCCTCAGGACCGGAAGGATGAAGCCGTACGGCTGCAAGGACTTCCATTGCCGGACTCGGGCTCGGCTCAAGCACTTCGTACTGCAGCTTGAAGGCGTTGTGGTCGCACACGACGATGCGCTCATCAAAGTAGGTCTCACCAAAGTAGACGCGGCGGACGGCGCCCTGGCCGTATCCTTCCAGGACTGCGGATCGGGTGCAGCCAGGGATCAGGATCCGCTCAGCTCCGATCGCTGAGAGAAACGGCCAAATTTCGTTGGCAGGAGCATTGATTGTTTCTGTAACTGAGGCCAGGACGATCCTCCCATCTAAGTCTTCGATTGACATCTTCAGTCTCAATACCCCGATATCAGTAGCCGTAACTAATGGCAGGGCATTTGTACAATAACTGAGCATATGCACATACCTAAAGTAGGAGGGTTCTTATCCTACTAGAGTAGAGTGTATTTTTCTTCGCAAATCAATGATTTGTGTCTACAGCTTACTTATTTATTCGCATCTTTCTCGCCGAAATGGTTCTGGATTAAATATGTTTCTTGGTTTCCTTGACGCAACGATATTCGACCGTCAAACGGACGAAAGATGGAAATTTGTAAGCTCTAGAAGCCCTGCGTGTGCGGAGTCTATACACGTTTCGGCCTCCTCAACGTACTCCGAAAGCGAAAGCGAGAATCCACGTCAAAATGGCTTCGCTCTGAAATCTCAGTCGAGAGGATCCGTGTTTTTCTTTGCAAAGAAGTCAGGAATCAGGTTTGGTATAGGTAGTTATCGGCATGGGCAAATTCTTGAACATCCTGCATGTAGTAGTGTTGTCGTCTAGATACCTTAGCCTTCGGCCACTGCCGTTATGAATGCAACGGACTGTGAGCACGGAGCGCGATGCAACAATCCCAAAGAGAACGCAAAGATAGTCTTTGAGAAGAGAAACGGTGCTATAATATTTGGGGCTTCCGGTATCGTAAGCCTCCCACGTTGCACATTCATTGGCTTTTTCTCCATGCTCAAAATTCTAGTCCAGCTGGGTTTTGATGCTCGAGTGTCTTAGCTACCTTACCCATCAACAGTCGCCTTCAGTCAATTCATAGGCATAAGAAAGAGGCCTATGGGCAGGAAAACGGCACGGTTAGAGGACGATCCGAGACTGAAGATACACACCGGACTCGATCTTACCGATGCTGACTTGACGCTACAGAGACCAAAGGCTATCCCAGAGGTTGATGGTGTTGCATTTATACTTTATTGGTGAGTACAACTTCATTTGCTTGATTAGCAAAGCACAGCGCACGCAAATGGATTGGCTAAGAGACTTCTTGCAGCGTACACGGGCCATGAAAGTGATCTAGAAAACCCAGTCAAGATCAACGCTGCGATCATCGACAACGGTCTGGCAGCCGTCAAGCATCTATGCCCGAACCTCGACATTGTTTCCCTACAGACAGGCGGAAAGGTGAGTGAAACTCTGGCTGCGAAAATCAAGTTTCACTAAAGGCTTCTTCCCTAGGGGTACGGAATTGTAGGATTCGGCTGGCCTCCCGCACGGTGGAAGGAAGACCTAGCCCGCCTGCCAGAACCGTACGCGTCTAAGATCTTCTAGTTCGCCCAGTGCGATGTGTAAGTCAGAGACGCCGCTAACAGTTGGTGGAAATGGGCCGAAGTCAGGCCGTCCTTTCTGGTGAACTTTTCGACAATAGTCGCGCCTCCTCAACTCCCTCATATCAGCCAAATCTGATAAGGCCTACTCTACAGCCTGGATTTGTCCCCCAGTCTAACGTCATAAACGTGGTACAGAGCTTGGGGCTGTATCACTCATTCTATCTTTCTACGTATGGTGACGGAGTGTCCTGTCCCTTTCCAGGAACCTAAGAGTCCTGGGCGGCACTGCACACCGATTCTTTTCAAGACCGGTAACCCGTTTCCATATTCACGTATCCTTGCACTCGTAGGAGACTCATGAGCGGCGATTCAATATCGAAGATGGCGATTCTGTCTCGTGGGAGATGAAGTGGCGATCTATTTGCAGCTATTTTGGCCTCAATGGAATTGGGCCACCAGCGCAGCTCACCAGCCAGACATTGGGCATCAACTGTCTCATTGCTCAGAAAGACAAGTGGCCAAACTGGGTCGTCACGAATGGTCTTGAACGGGGTGCCCTCGGAAACGTTGATTAGGATATACTGACTGTCATTTTAACCTCGCCGATTCCTATCGACTATGACCTGACGGCATCTCGAGACATTGGGTTCGCTGAGAGTCTAGAGCCGGGGAGAGGCTACATCCTAGCTTTTGATCGACTTGTAGAAGCAAAATTCTTGCCGCGTTACTGACAAATTGAAACTCAGCTCGACTGGCTGGCCTGGGTGCAGAGATTCTTTCAGCCTCAAGTATTGTCAAAAAGTCCAGGGAAGCGGATCCAGAGCCCTACGGTCTTCAAGTGAGCTCATCATAACGAGCGATTAGTAGACCGATATAGGCATAGATTAGTTTACATTGTTAAATATTTACACATCCTAGAGTTTCAAGACAGCCAATTCTGCGAAGCCGTGAGTTGGTGCTTGGTTCATGGCTGACCTATATGACACAAGAGAATGCGGAAGGGACTTGGTGATGGCAAGAGGGTTGCTGCACCCTGAATGTAAGACAGAACTCAGTGGGAAGCAAAAAGGTGATCCGCCTCAACAAGGGGATTGTAATCTACAACCAGCTTGATTGTGGCTAGGTTGGCGTTGAGGATTGACTTTCATAGAATCGAGCAGGTCTGAACAAGCCGTAACTTATAGCCTAGGTGAGTAAGATATAGATGGAGGAACTTAGCTTATGAGAAGGAGTCTTGAGAAGGTGTCGAATGCTCCTTGGTTGATCAAGGCTCGGATAGGTTGTGGTGCATTATGCTCCAATAAGCAATTTTCGCCTAGTTTCTAGACGGTTCAAGCCCCCTCAGCCCATGTGTCCTTCATTCCTATAAAGCGAATAGCCTACACTTAGTCGTGTAATCAAAAGCAATGATATGGCTTTCATTCGGCGATGACATCCGTGAGGATAGGGCGGCAGGGGGCTGCTTGTCGAAAACCCCTCCTCCGTCCGCCGTAACTTATCAGTCTCGAAACATTTTATATCCAGAATTGAAGAAATAAGAGCCTTAGTATGCTCTAACTCATGTCCCAGAGCCTTCTGGTTTCTAGAGCAGAATTATTTCACTTAACCTGACATCATTTTTTAGTGCCCCGCCACGTAGACTCAACTTCTAAACAAAGCCTCCAGTGAACGAGAGTCATTTGAGTCCTTTTCCAGGGAATCAGGCTTAACCGCTCTGCCTCGTATTCACACAAACGGGTGTAAATCGACATGAACGAGAAGAATGCTCGGCACTCTGTCCAACACAAAATCAGTAATTGCATGCGCTTAGGTGTTTCTTTTCGCACAAAGCAGCAGATTGTGATCAATCACAGTACGCTGGATTGTATACCATAGAGTAATTATCTTACCTTGCGTGTCAACGAGTTCAAGTTCCATACGCCAATCAGGGTTGTAAAGACCATGAATCGAACTTGAAGCTTGAAGCAGGGGTCCCCTAGATCAATAGGCTTGGGCCGAGGGCCCGCACCCACGGGATCCTGAATCAATTACCATGAACTATCAGAAGATGCTTTTGGATCGGCGGATATCAGCCAAATGTAACGTGTAGGTTCTGACTGACAATAAAGTCTCGGTCATCGTCGACCTGGCGATCACCAAGATAACTTTCTTTGGCCTTTGCTTGGCGCTAGTAAAGGAATGCAGATTTGCATCTTCACTTGCACCTGCCAAATTATGAGAGAGAGCACATTGCCATCCAATTCTCCATGTCAGATGGCCTGCAAGTCCTAGCCCGTTTCCCCAGTCCTTTGACGTGAGCTGTCTAATCCATCAAACTACCTTATGCATATACCAATGGGGCAAAGAGCCGAGAGCCCACGTGAAGACGGATTCTGGTACTCACTTGCCGATCATTGGCGCAATTCTTTGCTCCATCGGGAAAGCAATGCGGCGTCTTAGGCATGAAGTACGGACCACCGAGGCCAGGCGTTCGAGCACCATATTAGATTCCAACTGGGATGCACGCTGTACGCTTGAAGGTTTCAGCAGAAACACCAGACGACTTGTTACAGGAAGGACCGCCTCAGAGGAACTCTGTCTTCACAGGCAACCAGAGAGATCGAGACAAGTGACAGGCCATCCTAGTTAAATTGTTGATCATTGAGAGTGGCCGGTGGCAATTCATCAGGGCAAAATGACGATACCCAGTCCTGAGGCGGAACTTTCGCCCGATGAAGTAGCCGAATTGATGGAAAGGAAGACAGGCTTGTGAATCAGGGTGTTCGTAGGCCCGCCTCATCAAAATATGATGAGTCGCTCTGGCTTAAGTATTGATCGCTCAATGACTATTGTTTGTGTTTCTGAGGTCTACATGTACGCACCGTGACAGGTGGAGGCCGCTCTCTCAAATGCAGACGCTGACGAGAACCGTTCTGGCGCGGTTGATGGTTCGTGTATGTCTAGAACGCCTCGCTCAAAAATGCAAATCAACGTCCCTCGTGGTCATACCCCAATAATAATCGGTAAGAAGAATAGGCTTTAGGCTTTTTGCCGGTCTGGATGATCTTGTACACCAACCTTTGACCTCCTCTTCTCTCTCTGAGCCCGCCACTTGGGCCCCCAGAATTGATTGACAACCTGAATGGGAGACACAGCTATGACCGCCATGCCGAGGACAAGGAACGCGGTGCCAGGGCCAACGGCGTTGAGCATCTGCTCTGCGAATGCCACGCCGAGAGCTGCCAGCCCGCAGCGGACCACATTGTTGATGGCTGTGGCACTCGCGCCCTCACCGGGACAAAGATCCGAAATGATGGTCTGGTTCAGCGCAAAGATGGCGTTCGCCGATGCGGCAATAAGAAATTGCATTGTCAAGGGCAACGCAATCCATCCCGGTCGGGATACTGCATTGGGATACGCCAAAGAAAAACCGTAGCCGACGATAGAGGCAACGAATAGGAAGACTATCCACGGGAGGCGTCTCAGACGGGCCTGCTCCAAAGGGAAATCCGGCGCAATATCTTTGGGTGACAGTTCCTCGTCGTAAGGGATGTTGTGGGTTTCCTTGTATTTGGTCTCAACGGCTTTGTAGTCTCGAGTCAGAAGTTTGCCCGCAAACACGGAGCCGACAATGGTCCCAATTCCTACCCACACAGGTCAGTCACGTCCGGACAGTCCCGCTTCCATCGGAGTTCAAGCCATCCAATCAGTGTTTGATGTTCGGAAGGGGTAGTTTCTACTGACCATTGGGTATGAATGCTACACCAAGAAGGAGTTCGTTCAGTCCGAACCGCTCCTTGAACAGTGGAGTTGTGCTGGTCGTTACCATGTTCCAGATGGCATAGATCACACCACCCCAGACGAGGTTGATCACCAAGTCCTTCTCTTTGAAGAGCTTGAACGGCCTCAAAAAGGTCCAAATGGTAATCTTGCGATTCAAAGGTCCATCTGGATCCTCCATATACTTTGGCTCCTTCGTCACATATCTGTAAAGCGGCTTGTAGATGATGCCGTTCAGACGGAGGGATCCATTGCCAGCAATAGTTCTCAAAGTCTCTGGTAGGAATACCATGATAGTGATGAGAATCAGCGACGTGGCGATGAGCAAGAAAACAAACACGGATCGAAAGCCTAAGGAATTGGCGAGAGCACCTCCTAACAGCGGGCCGATCGCTGTGCTGAAATTTCGGACTACAAAGAATTAGATGCCGTTCAAGACCCCAGCAGAGAGTACCACGACTCACTCGCTTGATAGAAGCTGATGTATGCCCCCCTTTCGGCCGTCGGAGAGATATCCTGGATAACACCGTTGCCTGTCACACCAGACACGTTAGCTGCCAAGTTTGGAAACTGAAGAGACGGCTAAGTCGGAACACCTACCGATACTGACAGTTGAGGCACTTCCTGCAGCTTGGAGACCCCGGAAAATGAGTAATACCGCGTAGTTTGGCGAGAAGCTCAACGCGATATTGGCGCCAATGTAAACGCCCATGGAAGCGATGTAAGTTGGTCGCCGGCCGAGCGTGTCAGACATGGGGCCCCATAGCAGCGGTGTAACGGCTTGCATGATCAAGTAAGACGTGATTGTGAGTGACACTTGTGATGCGCTAACCTTCAGCTCCTGGATCGTACGTTAGCATCTGCCGGGCGCGTGAATTGCTTTGAAAGAATGACGGATAGTTTCCACTCACCTTGGATATTGCATCCAAGGAAGGGTTGTAAATGTTGGACGATAACCCGGAGAAGAGACCCGCAGAAGCAATAATAACTAGAATAAACCACTTGTGCCTCTTGGTGAAGACCGAAAACGGTTCATCATTACCATCATCGTTGTCGTCGTCTTGCTGACTCCCCATCTCATTGGAATCGTCGAAAGGATTCCGGTCTTGGCCTCCACGTCCCTCGTCATACTGATTGTACTGAGAGTCTTCAAACGACTTGGTCCGGAGCTCTCCAGTGCTGCTATCCTTCTGCCAGGTCCTCTTCCGGATGGGCGGCGGTCTCAGCGGCAGAATGTTACGGCCGCGCGGGGCTCCTAGTCGGATGCTGGTGCCGGCCCGAGATAACCGAGTGGGAAAGGCCTTTTCGTCATAGTATCGGTCCGGCATGTACTCGTAGTCATGAGCGAGAAAGTTGTACGCTGCAGCTGATGCAGCAGTCAGACTTCCGAGCAGTCCCCTCCTCACGTCCGGTCGCGGCGGCGGCTGCGGCTGTAGCCGATTGGGATCCATAGCTTAATTTGACTCTAAATCCCTTTTCTATTTCGTCGGTTCAAAAATGAGAGAAACCAAAGTATGGAAGACCAGATCTTGGCCCCGTGGACAGTTGCTACGCTCGGTTATCTCATGCATATAAAGAACAATACTGGCCAAGTCCACCGGCTGGTCTGGAAGTCCAATTCAGCTTTCACCGCCACGCTGTGACGCAGCCAGCTAGTATTCATCATCGTCCTGACGTCAATTAGAGATCGCGAAAACGGCTGAACGAGCTAAATCGAATTTCGATAATCAGCTCGAGAAAGAAACCTCCAAGTTGAAGAGAGGACCAGGTTTACCCTCGCGCGAAGTGGTCCAGGGATGCCTGCGACTCCTCGCACGGCCGCCCACCCCAAATGCACGAGAAGCGCAAGGAGGCATGGGAGGCTCAAGAGGTTACAGAAAATGGTTTCGCAAAACACTGAAGCTATTGGTCGTCCCATCTTCTAGACCACTTCTGCCTCCTTTGTGAAACAACGAGGCTGCTTCGACGCCGCGTCGCAGTCATCGCCAACAACGAGTCGACGCTTCGAAGTCTATCTATGGCTCTCCGACCCCCTCCACCCCCCTTCTCCTCTCAACACAAACAGTAGAGGAACTTTAAGGGCAGAGGAAACAAACCGGAGCAGAGAAAAAGAGAGGGTCGGGGAGCGCACGTTCACCTAATGGGCCAAAGCCGGCCCTTAATCGATCACCTTCTTTTCCTACTGTCTCCGGCAACCGTGTTAATGACACCCAATTCCCATCATTTCTACCCGTCAGTCGGAAACTTGACGCACACTTGCCCCTTTGGGACACATCTCAACCCCGTAGACCAGCGCGAAAAGGCCCGGGCCCGAGTGGTGGCGCCTCGGCCTCCAAAGTTTGACACGAGCCAGAAGTCAAATGATGGATGGAACTAGCAGAGACTGACAGAATGGACGAGCACATGGCCTGAATAAGAAGTGCATGGGTTCCACCTCGCTCGCTACCCTTGCCGCTGCCTTATCTAGTATCCCAGGACCCTTTCTCTCGGTTATTCGCAACCGGGCTAGCACGACAAGCGCATCTGTGATACGCTTGACAAGTGCTTCACGACCTGTCGGCTCACCTACCGAAGCAGAGATGTTTTAGACAGTGAATCGACGTACCGAGCAAATTAGAAGACCGACTAGCCACTCCAGCAACAACATTACTGGCGTGGAGGGTGAAGCAAGTGATGGATATGGGAAACCGTAACGTCGCCAAGCGCGACGAGGAAGAGGAGGAGGAGATTCAAGATGTTCGCCGACAAATGCAAGACGCCGAAGCAGCCAATGCTCAAGCTGTTGCCGCAGGAGCTGCAAAGCAAGCGGGCGCGCCCAACGCCAACGCGCTCCCTCTCGATCCGAATCAGCTTCTCTCAGTCCTAGGTCTCCTCAGCGGTCAACCTCAAGCCACGCCGGCGGCGCCTGGACAGCCTGTGGCTACAGGACTGCCTCCGAACAACAACGCCAACGTACCGACGGTCACCATCTTCGTAACGGTGACGCCCCCAGCTGCGACACAGACCGTGATGATCATGGTCCCGACAACAGTCACGGTGACAGCGACACCAGTAGCGCCTCCTCCAGTTAATCAGCCTCCTCCTCCACCGCCAGCTCCGCCAGTCCAGACATCACCGCCGCTGCCGCCAGCAGCACCGCCGATGAGCACTCCGCCGCCTCCTCCTCCGCCGGTCGTCGCGCCCCCACCACCTCCACCACCTCCTCCAGCCAGCGGGCTCACTATGCCTCTTGTTGGAGCTAGCTCGTTCCCGATGCCGCCTCCTGCGGCGTCCGTATCTGCGCCCATGTCTTCAGCTTCATCAACAGGAACTCCCAAGGGAGCCGGCGGTACTCCCACAGCTGTAGTATTGTTGGGTGTCTTCGGCGGTGTTGGTAAGTTAAGCTTGATGAAGCTCAACTGGTAAGTTATCCGCTAACAGAGAGCCTAGCTGGTGTGTCCCTCTTGGCAATGGGAGCATTCGTATATGGTTTGATGAGAAGAAGAAAGAATAAGTCTGAAGCAGAGGTAAGCATCTAATGGATTCCTAAATATCAGCTAGGCGCTGACGAGTTGTTAGACTGCGAGCGTCCAGAGTATGCAAATTGGAAGGCCAATGCCCTCCTGAGTCCTCCAACAGAACCAGTAAGGTGTGGCGTTGTAGACTTTTCCCAGATTATTGGCGGTGTCATCAAGGCAACTTCATGGTCTAGAGTTGATAGTAAAATTCGGACATACCCCAACACACCAGACGGCAAAAGTTCACGGTTACCTCAGGCGAGACAAAAGGCAGGTATCTGCTGGATTTCCGCTTTTCCCATTCCAGTTACTTCATGTAAGATCAGAAGCGTTGGAAATTTTGGAATACAATTATTGTCTATTTTTTAATATTATACACTCAAAAAATCCGCTGGGCGTAATCGTGATGAAAAGACACACTCACCGCATAATCATGCTGGTGGCTGAGGCAAGCCGTCCCATACCTCTTTCAACCATTCGGCGACTTTGGCGGCGATGATCTCGCTGTTCTTTTCCGTAGTGCAAAAAGCGTGAGGAAGTCCCGTATCGTCAATCTCAACCCTCGCCCAACCGTTCTCGATGTGCTTCTCTCTGGCTCTGATGAAGTGGTCCCTGAAATGGTCTCCAACCCAGTGATCCTTCTTCGCGAAGAAGAAGAAGAATCTAGGAGCAGCTCGCTTGCCGTTCCCCACATCGTCCTCTTCAACCTCCCAGAGTTCCTTATCCCACTTCTCCTCGGTAATCACTTTCATCTCATCTTTGCCCATGTGAATGGCTTGCCATACTCCGTCCCGGCTCTTCAAGAAACTGGTCGTGACATCTGCTGCTTTGGGACCCATGCCTAGGACATTGCCCACGAACCACCGGAGCGCGACCGCCGGCCAGAGGTTCAAAAACTTTTGTGCGATCACGTGTGCGGTATTGTTGAGGAATGGCGTCGTACGAATGAGTTCCATTTGCTTTCCGCTCGGCGATTTGGAAATATGTGTGACCGTTGGGAAGAGCAGCATGCCCGTGAGAAGCTTGAGATGGGGCGCGCGCGAGGGATCCTTTAGGTGCCGGTGGAAAATCTCAAGGGCAATGTAGCTACCGACAGAATGGCCCGCGATCACAACAAAGTCATATGGCTCGCCCTTCTTGCCCGGCGCATTGCGCGAAGAGTCTGTCCGCCGCAATGATGCCAAATGGTCAAAAACAAGCTCAATCTGATGTTCCACATCATACGGCGGGCTGTCTTTACTGAACGGCTCGTGGCTGTCATCTCTAAACCCAAACAGGTCGCGGCCGTGGACGTGAATGTGACCGTCGGCCCAGCCGATGCGGGCCTTGAGCGCATCGAAGAAGTCGGTGTAATAATCGACGAGCCCTGGGTTGCCGGGAATGAAGAAAAAGAGGCCGTGTCCCGTCGCCATTGTCTGTGTTCGCGTGTGTGTGAGAGTGTCTTTCTTTTTTTCTTGCGCTTTGGTGAAGCCGTCTTGCAACACAGCACGGCCCGCACAGATTCTGTCGGCTCTGTGCCGAGAGTTGACGTCTAAAGTCGAGAAGCCCGGCAACGAGAGGCGGAACTTTTGGAAAGGAGGTTGAAGGGCGGGAGATCCACCTCGGCAATGAATCGCGAAATTGGTGGGCAGTTTCCACGCGTTGCATTAGTGTCGGAGATAATGCGCCGTCGGCGTTTATCTCACTACGTGCTCGACGGTACGTACCTCGATTCTGGTGATGGCTTCATTTCGCCAAGCACTGGTGATGTGACGAATGCACACCCCGTACTTTGTAGAACATGATTCACTTGAGATTTATTCTTGTCCATGGCCGCCTGTATCCTACTTATAGTCGCCGGAACCTGAGGGATCGCACCAAACGTATTGAAGGCATGCTTCTCCCGCGTGTGCCTAGAGAGATGTGTACCTAACTATACCCACGCCGCACATCATGTCCGAACAGAAAGATCTTCTCTTCGAATTCGATCAGCCGCATCAGAACTTAAACCGGAAACTGGGATGCATCCATCCAAGTCTAAACTCATGCTCTTCTGCCGATTGGCCGTCCCTTTGACTCTCGTCTAGTCGAAAATCGCGCTGGCCTCGCGACCGTTTCTTGTTCTCCCGCTTCATGTACAGGGGCAAAACAATTCCTATCACCAATAACACAACCAGGCAGCCAAAGTTGATGAAGTGCCCTTTGAGATATCTGAGAAATGACAGAGTCAGTGAACGGACACGCGCAAGAGTATCTATGAGGGTAACCTACCTGGGCGCTTCATCTTTAATGTAGGTGAAGGAAGCGAGAAAGGCAGCCGAGTTTCCGATCGACAGTAAGAAACCCAAAGCAACGGCACGGACATAGTGCGGTGATGCATTGATACTCATCCATGTGAGCGCCAGAGGAGGTGTTGCGTTGACTGACATGGCGACGAAAAATGAGCCAGCGTACTGAACCTTGATATTCATGTAGAACGGTGCCGGACCGATGTGGGCCCCAACGATCATCAGGATGTACCCGAAAATGCCGGTCATACTGCACACATTCAAGGGCAGCGCAGTCTTTCCAGACCGACGACTCCAGAACGAGATGCCAATAGTGAAGATCAATGCCGCAAAGTTGGGGGGAGCTGTCATCAACGATGCCTGCAGCTTTTTGTATCCCATGGCAGATATAATCGTCGGGAAGAACATGGAAAAGCTGTAGATGGCCTGGATAGAGCAGAAGCTTCCGGCGGCCATCAGAATGGTGATGACATTGAGGATTGCCCCTGAAATAGTTTTCCATGTAAGAGGATCCTTCTTATTCTGGAGCCTCGATATACCACCCTGTCGATCATCTGATGCTAATTCTTGGTCGGAAAGGCGAGGATTGCCGAGATAGTGCCATTGATCTTGACACTGCATTCTCGCAACAGCCAGAGCCCTTTCAGTCGGCGAGAGAAATTTGGCGCCAGCAGGTGTGTGTGGCAAGATGAAAAGCAGCAGGAGGCCCAGCAAGACGGTCAAGGCCCCTTCAATGAAGAAAATCCAAGGCCACCCGTCATAGCCGCGGACCTTAATCTGTCCAAGTCCAGCAGCCATCAAGCCACCGAGAAACCCAGCAAGGGCGGTACTCGAGTAGAACAAGCCCACACGAAGAATGAGCTCATCGGCAGTGTAAAAGAAGCCAAGGTATATCAGAACACCACCAAGGAATGAGCTTTCGGTTAAGCCAAGGAAAGCGCGCGTAGTGCAGAGGCCGACGAAGTTGGTGATGAAACCGCTGAGAGTGGTAACTATCCCCCATGAGATGATCAAGAGCGGCAGCCATATGGCACCCCCGACACGGCGTACGGCTAGGTTTCCTGGGATGTTGAACAGTATGTTGAGGATGAAGAACATCGCCAGAGCTGCATTGAATTGGTTGCCAACCAGCTTGAGGTCTCGTTCGAGTCCAT